GTGAGTTCAAGGGGTCCAGGTGTGTGTGCAGTGTCTGGGTGTGCATGAACAGTGTCCAGATGTGCATGAACAGTGTCTGGGTGTGCATGAACAGTGTCCAGATGTACATGTGCAGTGCCTGGGTGTGCACATGTGGTGTTTGGGTCTGTGTCCAGGCGTGCACATACAGCATCTGTGTGTGTGTGTGTGCAGAGTCTCTGTGTGTGCAGAGTCTCTGTGTGTGCAGTGTCTGGCTGTGTGTGCACTCTGCCTGTACACTCACGCTGTCCCTCTGCACAGGGTCCGTGCTCCTCCCTGTGGCCACAGCCAGAACAGTCTCCATCTCTGACTCCAGCCTGGCACGAGGGGACCCTGCTGGGGACACAGAAGCAGCCGTGTCCCCCCGGGCTCCAGGCTGCAGCAGATGGGGGGGGACCAGCCCTGCAAGGGAGGACTTGCAGCAGACCCCTGTCCCCAGCCCCAGGGTGGGGGTCTGGAGCAGAAACTCCACAGCATCAGGGCCCTGCTGCTCCTCTGCTGTTGGGACATCCTTTATCCCAGGAGCACCCTCACCTGCCCAGCAAACACCTCTGTCCTCTCTTGCCCTTTGCCAGTGCTTTATTTATTCCCCCTCCCTGTGCTGGGGTCCCCAGGGAAGGGTTCCTTGGGGAAGGAGCCCCAGCTCCCAGGTTGGGATGGGCTGTGCTGCAGAGGGACTGGAAGATGTGTCCCACAGCTGCAGCTCTTCCTGTCTCTTTCATTTATTTTTTTTTTTTAAAGATTGTAAATATAGATAGAGCTTTATTTTGTTAATAAGACGATGAGTAACTTAACCTGTATATTTCACATACCTGTTTACAATCGTCCCCCAGTCCCCTGGCACAATAAAGATCACTTTTTGGAGCAGAGATCTGGGCCTGGACTTTACCTGTTTGGGGTCGAGGGCTGAACGGGGAGTCCTCCAGCAAGGGGCACCTCCAGCTGCAGAAGGGTCAGGAGCACCCCCAAGCCCCAGGGATGCACAAGCCCTCCCCCCCAGATCCACCATCCCCAATTTTCAGCTACCAGCAGCTTTTATTTTGCACCGAAACAAACACAGATGCAACAACAGTCCTGGTTCTTGCTGGGGGAGGTTCCTGTGCCCATAGGGAGGGGACAGCCACCAGCCAAGGCGGGTGCAGAGGGATTCCATTCCACCCCCAGGTGATGCACAACCACTGTGATGAGCTGGACAGTGCTCAGCAGGCCAGGACAGCCCTCACACAGCCTGTGGGGGGGGGAGCAGCCGAGTGCTGAGGGGGGGAAGCTGTGCCCGGCTCCAAGAGCAGGTCAGCTCTGCCCAACCTCCTCCCAGGGGGTCCCACTTGGGGACACAGCCCAGAGAGCAGCACAGGGAGGGCAGAGGGGCAGGATCAATGCCCCCAGCCCTGGGGGAGTCAGGGAAGGCAGAGCTGGGAGCCCCCTGCTCTGGAAGCACAGGATGCTATGGGGAAGTCAGGAACCCAATGGAGGTGTGGGACACCATGGCCGTGGGGACAGGCAGGGCCAGCCCTGGACTGAGCCCAGTGCAGGGGGTGCAGACACCCAGGGCCCACCCACAGCAGCCCCCTGGCCCCAAACCCACGTGGCTCACGGCTGGCTCTGCCCCTTCCTCCTTCGCACCACCCGAGCTGGAGCACAGCAGCTCCCACCCCTCATGGAAAAGGGTCCCATGCCTGGGATCAACACGGACCCAGGGAAGGTGCTGGTTTGGGGGTGGGAGCCCCAGTGGCACCCAGGGCACGAGAGGATGGACGGCACAGCAAAGGCGACGGGCACACCGTGAGCACCGGGCAGCAAAGTGACTGGGCAGCTCTGGGGGCTCCTGAGCGGACAGGAGGGACCCGTTTTGCCCCTCAGGGACAGCACAGAGGGAGCAACCCGGGTGCCAGGCCAAGCAGCAGCAGTGCCAGCAGGACCTGCCGGGCACGGGGCCGAGCGGGGCTCGGCGTTAAGGCGATGGTGGGGCTGCCTCGTGCGGGCAGCGGCCTCTCCAGGGCCGTGGGGCCTCTCCAGCATCTCATGGTCCAGTCTCGGGCATGTCCAGGGTCC